GTGGGGGAACGAAGCAAAAAAAAACAAAATATGTTGAATATCCAGTAAATTTCAAAGCCAGTCACGCTTGATTTCAGTCCTAAAGTTTGATTAAACTGAAAAGCTTCAAATTTGAATATAAATTACTTAATGAGTTATCCAATAAACGTTTACCAGTAAACAAATCTATCACCCGATCGCAACATGATTGATGAGATCTTGTAAAATAGACATGTATAGTGTACCATAAAATTGATCATACCTCATTAAATTTACCGTAAATACGTTACAACTTTAACATGTACTATGGTACAGTACCATGGACAGACAATGAACACACAAGGTTGTATGTCGTATTTGCAGTAATTAGCGTCCCTCCCCTATAACTGCCCCTCCCCGTTTTTTGGGAGGAATTGAAGTTTATATACAAAACACCACCCCATCCCAGACCTGGTCAATCATTCACCCCAAAAAGTCACATTGGACCTTACCAAATCATAGACTGGGCAAGTCTATTTGAAATATGTAGGAGTGAATGAGTCAAAAGCAGAGATTTATGTCTGGTGATCATGGCTGAACTTCAGGTGAAGCAGATGAATTCAACCCACGGATGTTTATATATACTGTAGAATCATATATTTTTGTGGGGTTAAAACTTCTTGGTTTTCATATACTAACCTGTTTCAAGGACATTATATTTCGCTGATTTCTGATTTCCCCCTATCTATATCATACCAAATATGTTTTTGTGGGAATTTAATTTCTTGAATTTTTGTTTGCCACGAAATAAACGAAATTTAATGTCCCACAAACATTTATGATTTTATAGAGTAATGTCCTTCTGTTATATATATATATATATACTGTAGCAGGTTGAAGTTGCACAACTTGTTTTATCATACTAGTAACCAATATTTTATTATCCTTATAAGCGCCTACATTTAAGCTTATTTTTTAAGCACACTGGGCGCTAATTACAAGGAGTACGGTACAGGGAATAAAGAAGGGCATTGAGGATGGAGGATATTTATAAAGGGTAGTCTTGAGAGTTGATTGAGGGCTCAGATTGAGGAGGGTTTGTTCTACTGAGGGCTAAGATTGAGGAGGGTTTGTTCTACTGAGGGCTCGACAGATTGAGGAGGGTTTGTTCTACTGAGGGCCAAGATTGAAAAGGGTTAAGTTTGCTCCTAGATTTGAAGATATATATTGATAGAGGGTGTGTTTTGATCCATTCCTTCCCAAACATATCATTTCTATAATCTTGAGATGTGTGTCACAACCAATTATGAACCACATTCAACATATTGGGGATAATTTAACCACCTGCAATGTCTGAAGTATAGGTGCAATGTCACTGTAAAAGTACTTACAATCAAGTGAAACAGAGAACTAGAAACATCGAGGCCTACAGTGTCAACAGACATTAATTCAATCAACAATTGTTTGTTGTATAAACCATAACAAATTCATTGAGAATTTTGTTTTGGTAGACTACTGATAGACGTCGACACCCCTTCCCCCCTCCTCGGACTCCCCCTGTTTCTGTCACTATAGCTACAGCAGCTGTCAGTACAGGTGATCCAAGGAGGAGGAGGGCCAGGAGGAGGGAGGTATACATGTCAAGATGAATAGTAATCTAACTCTCAACTATCAGCTGTTTTGACAATATCACTGTCACTCAACACCCTGTGGTGTCTACTCCAGATAACTTTCACCCCCTCCCCCCTCTCCTGGACAGTAGCTACTTTTGATACCAC